CCTGGCCCCCGGCCCGGGCCTCCGGCCCCGCGCGGGGCCGGGGCGCGCTGGCGGCCATGCGGCCGCGTGCAGCTGCCGTGCAGCTGAGCAGCTGAGCGCGATTCTTGGTGGTCCGCGCGCGCCGCCACCCCGCCGCGCTGGGGCTTGGGGCCTGGGGTTCGGGAGCCTGGGAATTGGGACTCGGGGAGGGGAGGGGGAGGAGGGAGGAGCGAGGAACGAGGAGAGGAGGAGCAGGAGTTGGGTTATGGGTTATGGGTTATGGGTTTCTTGTGTTGGTTGGGGGTTGAGGGTTGAGGGTCGCACCTCCCCCTCCCCCCCCCATCCTCTCTCTCTCTCCCCCCCCGCCGCTTTGAGTTTTGAACTTCTTCTCTCCCCCCCCAAGGCCCAAGGCCCGAGGCCCAAGGCCCAAGGCCCAAGGCCCGAGGCCCAAGGCCCAAGGATTCCTCGACTCCTCCATCTCCCCCTGCCCCCGTGACCTTCCTCGTAGAAGTGCGGGCCCACCCGCGCCTGCGAGGGGGGCCCCATCCGCGCTGCGGCGATGGGGCACTGGGACTTGCTGGTCAAAGAGCAGCCCACGCACTCGAGCTCCGGGCTACTCGGGATGTCGTACTTCGATAGGTCGAAAGAGTTGCCAGTGCCCTTCCCCTCGCCCGCATCGGTCTCACCGTCGCTCCCCATGCCCGCCAGATCCTCGAGGGCTCGAGGGGATGGCGCGGAAATACCAACAACCAACATTTGCAACAACGCAAATTGCGCATGTGACGATAATGCTCCTCATGTTATGAGTTATGAGGCCTGACGCCTAACGCCTAACACCTAAGAGCCTAAGATACCTAAGATCTAAGAGATATGGTAGTTATATGGGATATGGGGCTCTTGTTATCGGTGTGACACATGCGACTCATTGAAATATCCTTCTCCCCCTCCCATATCGTATCTCTTATTTCTTATCTCCTATCCTCCTATTTCCTATCTCCTATCCCCCATCCCCCTGGGCCCCTGGGCCCGGGGTCTGGACCCTGGTCGCCTCGACGTCTGGGCATCTGGACGGGGCGCCCCGCGGCCCGACAGGCCCTGGGCGGCCGGGCGTTGGAGCGCTGGAGCGTCGGGGCGCCCAACGCCGAACGTCCAAGGTCCCAGATGGACCGAGGCCCAATACCCAAAGAGCCCAAGACCCAAGAGCCACTACCCACTATCTCCGAAACCCCAAAACAAATATGGCTGACACCTGCTACCGAGAGTAAACATGATGCAGCGAAGTAGCAAGTAGCGCAACTGTGAGTTTGAAACTTGGGATGTGCTGCCCGCCCGCCCGTCCTCGACGTCGGAGCCGTTTCCCGCCGACATGTCTCGCTTGTGATCTGTCGACTGGTCGACTGGTCGGGGCGCGGGTCGGAGCGTCGAAGCTGGACAGCTGGACAGGGCGCAGGGCTGCAAGGCGCGGCAAGCCCTGGCCATGGGCCAGTGGCCAGTGGGTGGCTGTGAGTGGCCGAATTGCCATGGATGGTTGGATGATTGGATGCAGGATGGCCAGGGACCAGGGGGTAATTTCGAAAGGAAACTCATGAAATATGGGCGCGAACTGGGCCCACGCGACACGAGGCCCGTGGCCCTCGACCCTTGACCTCGCCACCTCGCCCCGAAAAGTCCTGAGGGCCCAAGGGCCTTGGGCCTTGGGCCGAAACCCCGAGGCCCGAGGCCCGAAAGATGGCCGGATTGCCCTGGACCCTGGACCCTGGACCCTGGGCCCCTGGATCCTGGACTTGCAGCTCACAAGGCAAAGGCAAAGAACGGGATCGACGCTCGACGCCCCGACGAGGGCCCAGGCGCCCAGGCCCCAGGCGCCAGCCGACCAGAGACAAGACACAAGACATCCAAGGTCCAAGTCCAAGGCCCCAGGCGACGGCGGGGGCGATCCTCGGCCTCGAGCCTCCAGCCCCTGGGCCCCGTCCAGCTGCCCAGCTCCCGAGCTCCCGTCAGAAACGCGCTCAGTAGTTAGTAGTTCAGTGCACAATGTGCTGGAGAGCCTCACGCCTCAAGTTTTAGGTTGTACCCAAGATTCAAGATTTGCTGATTTGCTCGACCTCATTGAGCCACAGATGCCAGACGGCCAAACGGCCGGCCGCCCAGCGCCAGGCGCCAGACCCGACCCCCGACCCCCAAACCGCAGTCGGGGACGAGGGTCGATGGCGGATGGGGAGAGGGGAGAGGGAGCGAGGGAGAGAGAGGAGGGAGGAGGAAGGAGGAGGGACGATGGGGGGGGAGGGAAGAGGGAAGAGGGAAGTGGGCAAGCAGCAGCAGCAGCAAGAAGCAATATAGCAAGATGGTAAGCTGAGGAGCCTAGGGCCGCGGGCTGAGGAAGACTTCCACTTCCGCAGCGGCTCCTCGGCTCATGCGAGCACCTAAACTCTGAGCCCGCTCGCCCGCTCGCGGGGAGATGATGTGGATGAGGAAGTTGCGGACTCTCAGGCTCTCAGGTCTCAGGTCTCAGGGCCTCAGGGCGGGGAGGAGAGAGAGAGAGAGACAGAGACAGAGACAGAGAGACAGAGAGAGAGGAAAAAAAGAGAGCGTGCATGCGCGTGAGTAATGAGAAAAAGAAAGAGGAGAGAGGAGAGAGGAGACGACGAAGTATCTTTCCATTCCCCGCTTGCCGCAGGAGCGTCCGAGGGTCGGAGCGTCTGAGCGTCGGAGGTCTTGGGTCTTGGGTTTGAAGTTTGAGTTCATATTATTGTTATGTCTCTCTGCCTCCTGCCTCCTGCCTCCTGCCCTCCTGCCAGCCTGCCTCCTGTGCGCTCGTCACTCGCCACCCCCTTCCGATCTCCCCACTCCCCTCCCCATCCGCGCCGCCCATCCCCCATCCACTCCCCCCCCCCCTCACTCCCCACTCGCCCTTTGCCCTCAGTCGGCACGGCAGGGTCGCAATATCTCCGCTCTCTGCTGGAGACCTGAGACCTGAGATCTGGAATCTCGACTCCGAGTTCGGGGCCCCCAAGCTTTTGCCTCTCGCTCTCTCGCATCTTCCCCGCCAGGTCGCCAGCTGCCAGCTGCAGAGCTACGAGCTACAGGCTACAGCCCGCTCGAGATCCTGCTCGAGCTCTCGAGCTCTTGCCCTGCCTGGCGCAGGCGGCCCGGCCGCCCGGCCCATGCCTTCTCGCCTTCTCTCGTCTCTCGTCCCCCGCTGGCCGGCTCTTTGATTCTGGGGTCCTGGGGTCCTGGGGGCCCCAAGTATCGTGGCCCATGGCCCCATGGCCCCGACGCACCGACGCACCTCAAACCTCAAGCCCTCTCACTTCAAATCTCAAACCACCCAACCACCCCCCCCCGCCCCGACGCCCTCTGCGCTCTGCGCTGACCCAGACCCCAGACCCCAGACATCCAGAAATGAGGCCCCCGAGCCCCGAGACCTTTCCCACCTGTCACCGGCCATCAGCCCCTCTGAGCCCCAAGCCCCCTAGTCCCTAGTCCCTAGCCCCTAGCCCCTAGTTCCCTGTTAGCATGTCAGCAATTTCCCATTGCCGCCGCCGTGGGGAAGGGGGAATGGGGGAGCGCTAACCGCTTGCCGCTAACTCAAAGCTCAAAGCATGTTGGTTGTTGATATGTTGTTTCGGAATGGACAATCCTCGGTGATTAGAAAAAGGCAAGAGGCAATAATTGCGAGCTATGAGTTATGAGCAATGAGATCGAATTCCTAATGCCTAATGCTTCACTGGCGCCCTGGCCCCCCGGCTCCTGGCCCCTGGCTCCTGGATCGCAAAGCGCAAAGGATTTTATTGCGACCTTCCTCGATCGTGTCTCGGAACGAATCAAACATGCAAGCGTCGAAAATCAAGCCACGCGCCTGCACCCTGCACCGGGCGGCGCGGCGTCGCAGATTGCCCGCGCGCCGCGCTCGGCCTGGCCGCCTGGCCGACCGGCCGCACCAGGGTTACGGCACTATGCCGCAATGCACCAAGCTCCCCCATCCCCCATCCCCCATCCCCAAACCGATTGGACATTGCCCGAGCGGCCGACTAGCCACTAGCCAAGAAGCCAAGAAGCCAGATGGCTTGCGGCTTGCAGGCTTGCAGGTGTGCAAATGCATAGCAGATTGCGGGGCCGGCGGATTGCAGACTGCAGACTGCAGACTGCATACTGCATGCAGCAGCAGCAAATCTTTCGGGCGACCCACTTCCCAACAACACAATTCAGATATTCAGATGCGTGTGTGTTGCATGATGTGTGTGTGCGTGTATGCTCGGCCCTCGGCCACAGCTGCCCAGCTGCCCCCTGCCCCCTGCCCCCCGCCCCCGGACCCCCGGCCCGGATCGCACAGGACACACGCGACAAGCGGGCATGCATTGAATCGAGGAATCGACTGCAGATGCGGAGGGGTGAGGGATGAGGGGAGAGGGGAGAAGGGGAGAAGGGGAGAACGAGAGAACGAGAGGATGGGGAGAGCAGGGGAGCAGGGGAGCAGGGGGCAGGGGGAGAGGAGGTGGGAGGGAGACGCACTGAACGCTGAACGCCGAACCCAATGCCAAATGCCAAGTGGAAATTGGAAGTGGCACCCCATCCTCCATCCTCCATCCTCGTCGCGCAATTAAGCATTAAACATTAAACATTAAACATCAAACCTACAACGGGACTTAGGATTGAGGACCAAAGAGTTGGGAGTTCGGATTTGAGGAGTTGGGACTTGGGACTTGGGACCTGGGAGGGTGCCGACTCCTTCAGACTCGCTCGAGACTCGAGACGCGACTGGGGACTGGGGATTGGGGGAGGGGGTCCATGAAGTCCAGAATGCATAATGCATAATGCATGATGCCTGTAGCTCTGCAACTTCTGGCCTGTAGGACGTTGGATCATACCGGCAGTGGATTTTGGGTATTGGGTATTGCGTGATCTGAGGTTCTGGGCTTCTGAGCTCTGAGTTGTTCGTTGGTTGTGGGTTGTGGGTCGAGGGTCGAGAGTTGAAATTGTCACCCTGTCTCAACTATCGCATTTCACCCTGAGCCTTCGACCTAGACGCCCACGCACTCGGCCTGGCTGACCACGCGCTTGCCCTTGTTGGGGTTCAGGGGGTGGCCCTTGCGCCACTCCGACAGCTCGGGCAAGAAGGCGATGGCCACGATCAGGGCGGTCCCAATGGTGGGGATCGCGATCATGTTCCCCTGAAGGCGCTTGAGGGCGGTGGGGAACACGCCGTCGGGGATCGTAATCGTCGCCGGGTCCCAGCCGAAGATCTTGAATATGGTGGCATGGTTGAGCAAGCAGTTGCCCTTCTTGTACCAGATCCTGGAACCAGTCGACATGCGGATGTTGCCGACCCCAGTCGTGTTTCGACCCGTGCTCTCATTAATATTGATAGTGAGTTCGTCCGGGATATTGCCAATGCCAAGGCGCTCGTAGACGAAGTTGATGGACTCCACCTCCCGCTCAGACACCTGGTTCAACACCTCCTTCGAGGCGGACTTGCCGAACAGCGAGACGCCAGTCTGTCCAACCTTCTTGCCATTGGGCAGCTTCAACAGCTTCGTGCCTTTTTTTGACCTGGCGGCGTTGATCTTCTCCCATCCTTTCACTGTGAGCCTCTGCCTGTCCTCCTTCACCTTCTTGTATGAGCTGGGTAACACCATCTCTGGGGTAATGAAGTCGTCGATCGGCTTCCGCTCAATCGGGCGCGTCTTGATATGTGCGACAAGCGCTGCAGCGAAGCTGATGTCCACTTCCGCAGCCTCCAGGACGTCTACCCGAACAAGCAAGATGAACACGCGCCGGCGGCGCATGGGGAGACCAGCCGTCCTCGCGTCTAAAGTGAAGTAGGTAGCCTTGTAATCTGGCAAGAACTCCAAACCGTGCTTGAAGGGTTTATTCTTCTTGGTCTTCGGGTCGGCGATGCAGGAGGTGCCCCGCATGAGGTAGTCCAACGGGCACTTGAACTCACTGAACTTCGGGTTCCGGAACGGCGCAAGCATGCCCCCCACATTCTCCAGGATAACCAGCTTGGGTTTTGGGGCGTTCGGATTGCGCAAATACTGGATGTACTCGAAGACAGGTCTCGCATCCTCGGAGCTGGAGCGGAGATGCATGAGCGCATAAGCACGAGAGAGGCAAAGGGCAAAGGGCACGGGGGAGTTGGCGGAAAAGCGGAGTGGGGAAGCGGGAAGTGCAGTGTGTGGAGCGTGGAGAGGGACTAGGGACTAGGGAATAGGGGCTACGGCTACGGCCTTGGTCCTTGGGCCTTGGGCCTAGGGCCTAGGGGCCTAGGGCCTTGGGGCCTAGGGCCTAGGGGCCTAGGGCCTAGGGCCTAGGGCCTAGGGGCCCAGGGGCGGGGGGGTGCCCACCTCCCACATGCCCCTGGCCCCCTGCCCATTGCATGCCTGCTTGCCCCTGGCGCTTGACCGTTTGCCGCGGGCCCCTTGGCCCTTGGCCCCTCGCGCAGTCCTTGTGGTCGAAAGGACTGTAGTCGGACAGAAACCTTTGGATGTTGAGGGCGCTGAAGGGAGTGCACGGGAAGCCCACCACCTGCATGTCCAGATTCGATGTCTTGTAGGCATCGCACACTTTGAAGGGACCACAACAAGAGCACTGGGGACTGTCACCGGGCGCGCAGTTCAGCTGCTCGATCTTGTTGTAGAAGTGCGATGGCCGATGGTTCGCTCTGATGAACTTCTCCGAGACGCTCCAGTGGTCGATGGAGTATTCATGTTGCACGGCCAGCTCCCCGACGACCAGCTGGAGAGCCTTGACTGGCGCATCGCTGCCGCTGAAGCCAGTCGCGATGGAGAGCTTATTGTCCTGCGCTGGGCAGGAGAGGAGGAGGAAGAAGGAAGGGGCCCACGAGGCGGCCCATGAACTTGCGAACCTTTCAATCACCGCAGAAAATAAACAGCAAGCGCCCAAGAGCCAAGAGCCCGAGAGACATGCGCCGAGGGCCTCGAACCTCGAACCCCCCCCCCGGAGCCCAGAGCACAGTGCTAGATGCTAGATGCTAGATGCTAGAGATGCTAGAGTGCTAGAGGCTAGAGCCCAATGCCCAATGCCAAAAACCCAGGACGCCAGAGACGGCACGACGGCACCGAGGCACCGAAGCCACTGGCCAGTGGCCAGCGGGCCAGCGGCCAGCGCCCGAGCGCAGCCCAACCGCCCAATCCGAGAAGGGCCCCATCTTGGCAGACTCAATATCCAATATCCAACACGGCCGCCCTGCACCAGACGACCAGACGAGGACGAGGCGGGGGAGGGGGGCCGGAAACAAGGGGGCCTGCGCAAGCAGGTCTGGATTCTGGATAATCGAACGGAGGGGGGCCAGGGCGCCAGGGCCAGGGGCGCAGCTCGGGCGGGCGACGACGAGCGGGGGCGGGCGTCGAGCGACGCTCGCTGCGCAGCACACACCGACGGCGCGGCGCCACCAGCAGGGAGCAGGGTGGCGCCACAAGCCACAAGCCACAATCGCACAATAGGATAGAAAACCTTTTAAAGCCATAAGCCATCAACGATGCTCTCGGACACGAAGGCGCCTGCTGCTCACGATCTCACGATGAGGCATACGGTATACCGGCATACCAGTATACCTCTAACTCGTCGCACGCGAACCCCCGTGCCCGAGGTGGCCAAGTAGCAGGTAGCCAGGTAGCGGGTAGCCGTTACCTGTTACCCGTTATTCGTTACTCCTCCCCCCATCCCCAATCCCCCTCTTCGCTCCTCCTCCCCATTCCCCCTCTCCGCGCGCAGGCTGCTGGCTGCTCACATGCAGCTGAGGGCTGAGGTACCTGGACACCTGGACCCTGGACCCGAGGACGCGCCCCCCCCGCCCCCCCTATGCCCTATGCAGCATGCAGCGGCTACCGGCTACCTCCTCCTCATCCTTCCTCCTCTCCTCCTCTCCTCCTCCTCTTCCTCCCCATCCTCCTCCTCTTCCTCCCTCCCTCCTCCCTCCTCCCCCTCATCCCTCATGAATGTCCCCTACTCCCAACTCCCAACTCCCCACCGCCCTGCCGCCCTGCCCCCCTCCCACCCCCCTCGCACCCTCGCATCCTCATATTCTCATGTTCTCATATTCACATATCGCCATTATCATCTTCTCATCTCTCATCTCCTCATCCTGGGGCCTTGGGCCTTGGGGCCCTGGGGCCCAGTGCCTAGGGCCTAGGGCCTAGGGTGGGAGGTGGGAGACTGGTGACTGGTGGGAGAAGCGAGGAGCGGTCCACGGTGAAGGTATCGCTGAGGATCGGCATGGATAGAAGCTTCTGCACGGAGCTGACCCATTGCTCGGGCGCCCCCTCGCAAAACTCCACGATCTTGTTGTAGTCGCAGGCGTTCGGCCCCTCGCCCTCGCTCTCGTCGTCGCTGGCAAAGCTGTCCGAACAGTAATCGCTGTCGCCGTCGGGCGTGGACCTGGGGGATGGCAGCCGGCAGGTATCAAGCATCAGAGTGTTCATTGTTCATTGTCTTTTGTCTTGCGTCTTGCGTGCTGCCCTTTGCCCTCTGCCCTCCTCCCGCCCTTCCGTGCCGCGTTCCCTCTCCCCTCTCCCCTCCTCTCCCCCTTGTCTGCTGTCTGATCATATGACATATGATATATGGTCCTCTGCTCCCCGCCCCACTACCCACTACCTCACTACATTTACCCCTCATCGCTTATCCCGTATCCCTTATCCTCGATCCATGGATCCATGGCCCCATGGCCCATGGCATCCCCCCTCCCCCCCCCATCCAGGATCCAGGCCCCAGGCCCCAGGGCCAGCGGAGATCCAAAAAACCCCAGACTCGAGATTCGAGATCCCGAGAAGTAAGATCTTGGCCAACCAGTGCGTGGGGTATGGGGTATGGGGTAGGCGGTATGGGGTATGGCGTACAGCACATTGCATATTGCATATAGTATATAGCGTATAGTGTATTATAGTTTATAGTGTTTGTGTCTGGTGGGTGGTATTTGGTGCTCTGGTGCATGTGCATGTCATGCGTCTGAGGTGTTTGTTAACGTGTATGCGCGCATGCGCGCATGCATGTATGCGTGTATGCGTGTACGCGCAACACGCAGCCAGTGTGCATGCGCACATATGACACAGCTCTGGACCCTGGGGCCCTGGGCCCCAGGACCCTGGACCCTTGGCTCCTGGCCCGAAGACCGCAAAGTTTCCTAGTCTCCCGTGCCGGCCGCCAGTGGCCAACCGCCAACCGCGCCAGCCGCCGGCCCGCCAACCCGCCCCCGCCCTCCGCCGCGCCGGACGCCGCGGCCCCCCGCTCGGGCTCTCGGGGGGATGCCACCCGCCACCCGCTCCCGGAGGGAGGGGGACAGGGGAGTGGGATGGGGGAGCACTCGCGTCGGGGGGCGCGGGCCCCGAGGTCTCAGGTCTCAGGGCCCCAGGGGCGTGAAATCTACATTTTCGCTTCTCCCCCCCCCGACTTTCGGGCATGCCTGATTCTATACGATTCAATACAGAGGCGTGCGCAAGAGCGCGTCGAAATTTCTCGCCGCCAAAATTCTTCAAGGCCCTGGCCATGAGCAAAACTCGCTTCTCTGCGGGCTGAGTTTCGGGGATGGGGGCTGTGGGGGGGCTAGAGTTTTCGAGTTTTGGGCATGGTGTTTCCGATGATCCCAGGGCGGCTTGGTGGCACTTGCAGCTCCCGCCGCGGGCGAGCCCGCGGCCTTCTCGCCCTCCTCGGCGGCCTCGCGGGGCTCGGATTTCTCAGACTTCTCGTCCTCGGCCGCCTCGCTCTCCGCCGACTCCGACTCATCGCCGAGGAGCTCCGCCAGCTGGTCCAATTCTGACATCTTTTCTGAGCCCCCCTTTCCCTCGCTCCCGCGGGGGCTGCGGGAGCGATCGCGCCCCCCCGACCCCGACGCCATCTGGTATCTGGTAGGTTGTCTGGCGGGCTGGCTGGGGGCTGGGCGGCTGGCCGGCTGGCCAGGGGCCAGGGCCAGCTAGCAGCTAGCCGAGGGGCGGAATCAGCGAGTCTTGAGGCCACGATGCCACGATGCTATTGCTTCTTGCTGCTATCATGCTATCATATATCATATGTTCACATGTTGTTCTTATGTCTTATGCACCCCCCATCAAACCCTCATCGGGCCACTGGGGCGCTGGGGGCCCACAAGGGCTTCTAACGCCCGCACTGCGCCCGGCTTAGTGCCGCATCACGCCTGCGCGAAGGCCAACCTTACGCCCGCACTACGCCCGGCTTGGTGCCGCATCGAGGCCAAGATGGGTGCCGCACTGGTGCCGCATCATCCCCTGAGGGCCCCCTGAGGGATCCCCAGAACTCAAATATCATATCTTGGGGATCATGAATTGGCCAATGGGATTGGGGGATGCCCTTAGTGCCGCATACGCCCGCCGCATGAATCAAACGATGGGCGTCGGAGGGCAGAAGTAACGCACTACGCCCGGCTTGGTGCCGCACCATCTTTCTAAGTATGGCGAAAGGGGGGGCTCAAGCACGCATTAGTAACGTCTTAGTGCCGGCTTAGTGCCGGCCTTAGTGCCGGCCTTAGTGCCGGCCTTAGTGCCGGCCTTAGTGCCGGCCTTAGTGCCGGCTTAGTGCCGCACCCAGTGTTGCGTTAGTGCCGCCTTAGTGCCGGCCTAAGTGCCGGCCTTAGTGCCGGCCTTAGTGCCGGGTTGGTGCCGCATGAGTGGTAAGATGATAAAATATAGAATAAGTTAGGAGACATGATATGATATGATATATTTGATAGATACGATGAAATGAAGTAATTTGGTATAAACTATAACGTGTGGTAATGTGGTAATGTATAATATATGACGTATAAAGTTTTGGCATAGCGATTCAATATAGGGTAATAGGTGCATATGGGGTGCAATGTGCAATGTGATATCGTGTCATAGGTTTGGGTGTCATGTGCAACACGTCAACACACTACGTCATATATGATATGTAACAAATGGCATAAGGGGATAAAGCGTGACAATATGCTAACATGCTATGCAAATCGTGGCGGTAATACTAAGTACTAAGCGGCTAGGCTATAGAGTTATAGCTGTAGTTCCTAGCTAATAGCTAATACCAGTAAAAGCATGAGGGGTCAGGTGTAAGATGGCTGGGG